CTTCGGATCCAAATTCACGTGGATCACAATCGTGCAACAATTAATTTCTTCAGCACATACAAGAGAAGAATCTGACTTAGTTCCTAACACAACTTTACCGGCGCTGGTGCTCGGCCTACAGCGTCGCCCGCGCTAGTGACACCCGCTTCGCTCGCCTCTGCGGAGGAAGGGCGGCTCCTGAAGGCGGAATGTTCGCTGCTGTGCTTCCAGGCTCCGAGGTGGCTGCTCCGTTTCGTTGTATCGAGATCGGACAGGTGTAGCGCGTTCGAGTTAGCGGGGTTGTGTGCTACGTCGGGGGTTTTCTCGCCGCCAGTGTTGCTAAAGACGCGCATGGATATTAGCTGTGGTATTTCGATTCGCCCGTGGGAAGTGTGGGCCTCCAGAGTCTTTTTCGCGGTGTTAGCGTCGATTATAAAGTATTTTGAGTTATGTCTGTAAGTTAGAAGGAGCGACTAGCGAGAACAGTCGTTATTTTTGTCTCGAAACGATTCGAACCCTGTCGGTGGTATCGCTGTTCTCCCCTCTCGTCCTCCCCTCCCAACCCCCGCCCCCCTTAGCCTCTCCCCTCTCCCTCCTCTCTTTCCCCCAAGTTTATTGTCGGGTTCCCCCAGCCCCCCTCTTCGTATGTGCCTTTCCAACTTCCTTTGTTAACGTGTGTGTGTGTCTGTGTATGTTTGGTGGAGGCGACCGTGCTACACTGTACCACGCTGACAGCCTCGTGTACTCTCGGCTCATAAGCAGTAAGCCGTCTTTTCCCAAACATACGAGATCTGGTTGGGTACACGAAAAATGCCTACCCCTAGGATTATGGTTCAGGAAAGTAAAAGCATATTGACGTGTGCGTGTATACTTGCGTGTGTATATGGGCATACTTATGTACACATACACGTAAACAAAGTTTGATATACACACTCATTTACACATATCAACAGGATTTCTCATTCTCTCTTTCTTTCTTTTCTCTCTCTTCTCTCTCTCTCTCTCTCTCTCTCTCTCTCTCTCTCTCTCTCTCTCCGTCGTTCGCTCATATACAGAACTTCTTATAATTTATTGAGATGTGAAAATTTGGCTCATCGATCGCTTTTTCTTCTTTTCTGTTTCGTTATTTTACCGACAAACCCTTTGCCCGGACGAGAAGACCTAATGTGATTTTGATCACACACACACACACACACACACACACACACACACACACACACACACACACACACACACACACACACACACACACACACACACACACACACACACACACACACACACACACCACACCATTACGGTGACTCGTCCATCAGTATTTGCACCGCGAGCCATCCCCCAACATCCGTGCATCCGAAGCAGCATGTACTGCAGCGTGATCACGGCGAAAGGAAGTGAGCGTGTTGAACTTCGGCGGGTTCCCGGGGCGAGGTGAGGCCGAGCGTCCCGGCAGAGGCGAAGGGAGGTGGTAGGGGGGAGGAGGGCCCACGGGACGGAGGGTGGGAGGGAGGAGGACGGAGGACGGAGGACACGCTCTCCCTCGCCCTCGCCGCCACCTGGCTCACGTTCCTCCAGCGCCGCTCAGTCACGGGGCTTCCGCGGGGATTAATCTCACTTGGGGAACTTCGGGGAAACGGCGGGAAGAAACGGTGATTAGGGCAACAAGGTGGCGAGGAGGGAGGTGGGCGGGCGGCGTTTGGGCGCGCTCTCCGGCGGGTCCGCTGGGCGTTCGAATGGAGTGAACGAAACGGGTAGAGTGAAAGAGTTCCAGGAGGATGGAAGGATATAAAAAGAGGGAAGTGATGCGCTGGAAGCTGGAAAAATTAGCCTCGAGTGGCACGAGGGGCATCACGCGACAGGTGAGCTCCGGTGTCACCTGTTTGCGTATCCCTTTGATCCGCGGACAAGGACGGCATGAGGCGGTGCCACGCGGGTAATCACGGGAGTGCCAAACGCCAATCACGGCCGGGCGGCAGGGACTGCTAGTGTCGTTTTCTCATGGTAATGGGCTTATCAGCTGCCCCGTCTTGCTGTGCACATCTTTGCACTTGCCTCAGCCGTCCTTTGTTTTGCGCCTCCCCGCCTCCTCTCTCCGTCGGGAAGGCCGATGGAGGCTCTGATGGGAGCCTTGGGAGGCCGGGGCCGCGGAATGTGCGGACTGTGGTCAGCGCGGGAATAGGGCGACGCGTATTTTTTGTTTGTTAAGGATTTATGCAGTGCACGTTCAAATCGCGGGGCTGGAAGGGCGCCACGGCGACGCTCGGCAGGAGCGGATCGCCTCCTCCGCAGGTCAACAGCCGTAATGTAAACAAAGAGCGTGCTGAGGACAAGCTCGTCTTGCAAGCTGTCAGAGGAGTGTCCGTTTGGGTATCGCTCCGTGACGGGATGTCAAGGGTCTTCTGATGTTTCACCAGCGGAAGAGTCATCTTCCCCCTTATCCACCATCACCTCCTCCTCTTCCTCCTCCTCCATCTTTTCTTCCTCTTCCCTCTTCTTCTTCTCTCTCCTCTTCCTCTTCCTCCTCCTCCCTCTCCACCTCTTCCTCCTTCTCCGTTTGCATCTCCTCTGACTTATCTCCATCACCATTATAGTAATAATGATAACCGCCATCCTCATCATCTTTATCATAAGCCACCTCCGTCACCATCTTTCCCCTCCTCCCCTTCTGTTGCCCTTCCCACACGTTGGTCATGAGAAAGTACGGTTGAAACTGTAGTGAATAAGCCGAGAATCCCACGCAGGCAAAGATCGTGCGCCCCGCCGGCCAGGGTGAGCGGATGAGAAAAGTATGGTAGTGCGAGCGCGCGAGAGCGAGTGGGATAGTTAAAGGACAGAGGCTTCGCTCGAGTCTTAACACATGTATGTCTCTCTTCACATTCACTTTTCTTTGCAAGACCAGTTGCACGCCTGCGCCATCTTCCTCCAGCCTGTCATTTTCATTTTACTCCCTTTTTCTCCTACTGCATCCCAGCTAGCACCGCCAAGGACGTCGCAAGTCGTAGTTGCCGTGGTAGTCGTGGGCGTTGCGGGCCGTGCAACGCGGCTAACCTTTTCGAGTCCTCTTCCTGTTTGATGACATTTCAGTCAACGGTGAAATTATTCATGCATTTATCTCGTTAGTTACACAGAAGAGAGCGAGAGGGAGAGAGGAGATGAAAAGATGGACCCTTTTTCCAGGGACCGAGGACCGGGGTGGGGGTGGGGGGATATGTGGCCGCCAGGGAAACAAACCCGTGACAGCAGCGCCTGTTACTGCTGTTTTCTCGGGGATGTAGCGTAACGCTCACTGTTTTCTTTTTTCCTCTAAATTGCTCTCCCGCCAGATCACCATCGGGCGTAGACATTCGGGCGCCCGGACCACGCTCTAGGGCTAGGCGGTCCTGTTCGTGCACACACGAAAATAGGTACTGCAGTGCACGTATATGTATATTGCCTGCGTGTACGGTATAGTACATGTGAGCATTTATCCACAGATAGATGTATTCATGTATGGTTAGCAATTCCTTTCTCTCTCTCTCTCTCTCTCTCTCTCTCTCTCTCTCTCTCTCTCTCTCTCTCTCTCTCTCTCTCTCTCTCTCTCTCTCTCTCTCTCTCTCTCTCTCTCTCTCTCTCTCTCTCTCTCTCCCTCCTCTCCCTCCTCTCCCTCTCTCCTCTCTCTCCTCTCCTCTCTCTCTCTCTCCTCTTCCTCTTCCTCTTCCTCTTCTCGCCCTCTCGCCCTCTCGCCCTCTCGCCTCCTCCCTCGCTCCTCTCTCCATTCCCTCTTCTCGCCCTCTCTACCCTTTCCCCCTCCTTCCCCTCCCACCGTGCGACCCCCCCACCCCACCTCGGAGCTGATAGTGAATCCAGGTGGGCGCCGTGATCCTCCCCGTCGTGGGAGTGACACCGGGCACACCAACAGCGGGACGGGCCACCGCCGCCGACGCCGCCGCCGCCGCTCCACCTGTGAATAATTGAGAAGCCTTTGTTTGCCGCCTCCCCCACCACCATTGATTAGGAAACTTCCACCCTGGATGTGCGAGGAGCGAGGACTATATAATGGCATACGACTGCTAAATGATCACTTCGGTTCCCCGGCCAGAGGAGGCGAGATGGAACTTTGCAGGATTTATGACTGGTCGTTGCCCAGTGCCGGATTTATGGTCGTTGTTGTTGCCGATGTCGTTGCCGGTGCTGCCGCTGCGTCGCCCTTGCGAGCATTGGCGCTTGTTGCTTGTTTTGTTTGTTTATTTCTTGCTTATCCTTTGAGTGAAGGTGATAGCCTTGATTTGGGATTGTTTAATCATCAGTAAATATCTTTGGATATTGTTGTCAAGATTCTGTATTGTAGATAATAACAAAAAGCGTTCTGTTGCGAGGGCTGAAATGTGCAATGTATATTTTTTAAACAAAATGATATAGATAATTCATGTTACCAAGTATCGTTCGTTAGGTGGTTTCATTTGCTTTTTATAGTGTTATTTACTTATTATTATTTGTCAGCGTCGGCAGCGCCACGTAGAAGGGGGCAGCAAGCATGTGGCAGTTAAGGAAAATTGCTTGCTGTAGAAAACGAACAGTAAAGGGAAATTGCCTTGCCAACTTTATGAATACATTTATTGCGTATAAGTGTCAGCATTATATAGTTGACGGGAGTTCGCGCCCATGCGGGTTCAGCTGCTGTTGGTCAGTCTCCGAATGAACAAAAAACCTTTGGGTTGGAAGCAGAGGCGGGATACCCTCCTGCAGTTTGGGTAAAGTGTTGGTGTTTTGTTTTCCACGTCTTAAAAGGGCGGTTGGGTTGGTTTGCGTTATTATTACATTTTTGCAACAATCTCCACGCGCTGTTATTATGTAGATTTTACCATAATAAAAATGGACTATTGCAGTCCGAGTTATATTTTTGCCATTGTTATTGCTATTATTGTATTATTGTTGTTTAAATCTTCATTATTTTTTCTCTTTGCAGTCATATTTTGTAAGCACGTAGACATTGCATATTTCGGGGTCTGCAATTTAACCATCTCTCTCTTCTCTCTTTCCAG